TCCCCCTTGCCCAACATCCAATAGATATTATTCTTATATGTGCATTTATGTGTTGATCAGTTAATACCAATTTGATGGTGAGTACATGTGGTGCTCGTCTTTCCATTCTTGGGATACCTCACTTAGTAGAATGCATTCCAGCTCTATCCAGGAGTATACAAGAGGCTTTGCCCATTTTTAATAGGGTTATTTGTTTTCTTTATATTGAGTAGTTTGAGTTCCTTGTATATTCTGGATAATAGCCCCTTATCTGATATATGATTTGCAAATATTTGCTCCCAATCTGTGAGTTGTCTCATCACTGTATTAATTGTTTCCTCTCTTAACCACCTTGCTGGTTTCTCTACTTCACTGGTTCCACACTTGAGCAGCATCAGAAACACCTGGAAGGACTTTTTCAAACACAGATTGCTGGGATCCACTTCCAGAATTTCTGATTCCAGAAGTCTGGGGTGAGGCGGATAATTTACAGGTTTAACCTGTTTCCAGGTAAGGCTGCTGCTGCTGACATGGGGACCACACACTGAGAATAACTGTTCTAAGTGAATCTGTCTCACTTGACTGTGTGCAGGTAGAACACCCCAATTTAAAGGTTTCTGGGCACTGCCCTTTCCCCTGTCCCCCAATCCCTGTGGCCATTGTCTCTCCCCTGGGCCCAGCTAGACCCAACCTATGTCTTTTGGAAAGCTAACATCGTCCCACGGGTCCACGCGGCACTTACCCGGGAGCCAGTCCATCCCAGCAGGGCAAAGGCACGGCGCTCGTAGGGGCACATGACTAAGTCCACACGGATGGCCTTCCAGGTCTTCTCTTCCTGCTGGCTGGACTTCTCACTGTCCACCACTCTATGATGGGGCAATTTTAAAATCAGAAAACATTTTTGAAAATGATCCAAAGCATCGACCTTCCTGCTAGGCAACTTGAGCTTTTCAAATGTTGACTCCACAAGGTCACAGTATAAAAGTAATCCCTGAAAAGAAACAGAGCAGTGTTAGGAAGAGACCCCGATGGAGAGGAGCTGAGATCTTATGCTGGCTGTTGATGAAATCACAGGTTTGAGCAGAACGTGGCTCTGTGTGTGTGTCCTTGCATTACAAGCCCTCCTGGAAACCCCAGGAGAGGGAGCTAAGGAAGTGGCTGCATCATCCTCCCTCTGCAGAAAAGGAATCTAGTGATTAGAGAGGCTGAGTCAAAGCCACTTAATGGCAAAATTGCAAGAGAATCCCCCTTCCCACTTCTGAATGCCAGCCAGTGCAGGGATTCTCCTCAGCCCTTTGAAAACAAACCAACCATAAACAAAAGCCATGCTGTTTCTAGGGGGGCTGCTTTGAGCTAATGTCTGCTATAGTGTGGATGTTTGTCCCCTTAAACCTCATGTTGAAATTGGTGCCCAATGGAGGTGAGGCCTGGTGGGAGGTGTTTGGGTCATGGGGGTGGAGTCTCATGAATGGCTTGGTGCATCCTCACAGTAAGGAGTGCATTCTTGCTCTATTAGCTCCCTCCAGAGCTGGTTGTTAAAGAGTCTGGCAACCCCCCCACCCCTGTCCACTGTCTTGCTTCCTCTCTGGCCATGAAATCTCTGCACATGCTGACTCAGTCTGGCCTTCCACTATGTGTGGAAGCAGCCTAAAGCCCTCGCCAGAAGCAGATGCCAGCACTCTGATTGTTGTACAGCCTACAGAACCATGAGCCACATAAACCTCTTTTCTTTATAAATTACCCAGCCTCACGTATTCCTTTTTAGCAACACAAATGGACTAAGACAGTGTCCTTTTCCATTATACTGATGACCAGGCTTATCTGGCCCAAAGGGTTGTGGCTGGAGGCTGAGCCCCACTTTGGGGCAGGATAACTTGCTATTTATAGTAGCACATGGGATGCCGTTTCTCATGAGAGACTTTTGCTCTGCCTGACTTACTCTGTCTGCCTTGGAGAAGGTGGGATAAAGTTAGTGACCATGTTTCATCTAAAATCACCTACCCAGAAAGTTGACAAGTGATCCTAAGATATGCCCAAGCAAGTTGCCATCCTCAGTGGGAGAGCCTTATGGTACAGGGTAGATATGGGGAAGGGAGAGGCAGAAACATACAATTAACTGCAAATCTGAGTGGCAACTAAAAGAGCAAATAACCTCCAAATAATGTAATCAGAACTCTTGGGGTGTATGATTTGTTATCATGTATTCCTCAGGTCAGATGTGCAAACATTTTATGAGAAGCAGTTCGGAGATTTGTTAAAGCACAGTTTACAGGGTCCCATCCCCAGAGTGATCCAGTGGAGGTTGGGGAGGGCATTTCTAGCAAGTTCCCAGGTGATGCTGATGTTGCTGGTCCAGGGACCACAATTTGAGCATCACTGGTTCAGTTCATTATTGCAACTAGACATACTTTGCATTTCTCCTGCAAACAGCAAGAGACACTGTTTCAACTCCAGAGGATACTTTTTCCTTTGCTGATCTCTGAAGAGGAGCCCTTCCCTCTTCAGTGCCTAGAAGAACAAGCATCATTTGAAGGACGGGGCGGGGGCACTGATGTCAGGAAGAGCCCCTGGGTGAGGTGGTCAATGTTGCTATAGGTAACCTCTGTTAACCAGCTCAGGAAAACACAACTCTGCTTTTCAAGGAAACTTGCTAAAACTAGTACAGTATAGCAGCCTTTCATGTAAATTTCTATTACGTAAATTTGAAAAGGGAGCTATTAAAATATTAACAAGTGTCACATTGAAGCAAATTTATAATAACACACATTCTCTTAAAAAAAAAAAACCAAAAAACCTCACACAGCTGATTTCCTAATAGTAAACTGTATGTTTGCCACATGGTGGTGTCACTTGGATGGTAATAGAGAAAAGGGCCATCCTTTCCTGGGGTTTGTCTTGACTGTTGCGAGGTGTTTGGAAGTGCATCCTCGGACTGAATGCTCCTGTCTACGTATCAGAAGGTTCTGTCTGCAGCAGGGCACAGTTGTCAAACGTGCACACAACCCCCTAGGTCTCTCGTCTCAGCTATTTGCTGGGCATCTCTATTTTCTGCAGTTTCCTTCCTTGTCCTCCATTGCCCTTTAGGTGACTTCTCCTCTTTGAAAACTCCTTTTAGGGGTTGGGCCCTGGCTTCCAAATCCATACCCACTGGTTGACTGAATACTCACATCAGCACGTTCTTTCATTTGCCGTGTCGGAAACCCAGAGACTCCTGACTAGGAGGAGGCATTTCCCTGCTGCTTCCCTCCCTCCCCAGGGGACAGAGCAGCCAGTTCTGGGGTAGATGAGAGAGGAAGAGAAGGTGGAGCAGGAGGTGAGCACCTTCACCTCCCACTCTTGTGCCTCCATCCGCATTTAGTCCCGGACTTTGCCACCCGACAGGGAGCATTGCAAGGCGAGCGAGCATGAGGCTCCCAGCCAGGACCCCTGCCCCGCCTTTGTATTCGATTCCCTCCAACTCCTTCGTGGAAGACTCTGGGTCCCCCTATTCAAAGTGAATATATTCTTTACTCTGTGATGTTTGTCAATACTTTCAATCTCTCAACAACTCCACGAACCGGAGATGTAGCCACATGGAGCAGTTAGGGGCCTTATGCCCAAGGTCCCACCCACCAGGTGTGAACCCAAACCAGCGCCATTTAACCTCCCCTTTTTGGTCGAACCACCAGTAGCCAGTGAGGACACAGGCTAATGCAGCCTTTGGGGCCCTCCCCTGAGGTCAATATTGTCAAGATCTTTTCCTCCCTGTTTCCCCGCCCCTGATCAAGGGATTTCCTACAAGGCTGACATTTAGATCTCTCTGATGGGTGACTCAAACTGATACCCACTGGTTGTTCACGAGGCTCCGCGTAGCGTTTACAACGCTGGCTGTGTATGTTGTGCATGTTGCTTGAGTATGCACATGTGTGCGCCTGCGTAGGATGTAATCTTTATAATCTGGACAGTGCAGTTTTGGTGAGGATGGCAGGACACGGGAGTGAGGTAAAGGTGGGAGCTAAACATGAAGAATTCCTGTGCTGATCTCACCACCGAGGTGTTGAGGGCAGGCCCGGAGCCGCAGGGGTGCGCTCAGGGCTGGGACACCAAACTGCCTCACAGCTTCTCCCTGCGCTCAGGGTTCGGCAGCGCGTGAAGTGGGGTGGGGAGCTGCCCCTGCTCACTCCTGGGTTTCCCCCACAGGGCCCAGTGCCTGGCTTTCAGGCAAAGCCCAGTAAATAACTGTGCATGAGAGAGAATGATAACTTGCCACTCGTTAGGCTCCTGCCATCCATCGGGCACTGCGCCACGTTCTTTATCTAATTCTCTCATTACTCCTCCCCTTTAATTAACGAATGAGCGGCTTGTCATCCCTGTTTTACAGATGAGGAAAGTGAAACTTGAGAAAATTAAGTAACCCATCCCACGTCATACAGCTGGAAAATGTCAGGGCTGTGTTTTTATTTTTATTTATTTATTTTTTGAGACAGAGTCTCACTCTGTCACCCTGGGTAGAGTGCAATGGCATCATCGTAGCTCACTGCAGCTTCCAACTCCTGGGCTCAAATGATCCTCCTACCTCAGCCTCCCTACTAGCTGTAGAGACGGGTCCCACTCTTGCTCAGGCTGGTCTCAAACTCCAGAGCTCAAGCAATCCTCCCGCCTCAGCCTCCCAGATTGCTAGGATTACAGGCATGAGCCACTGCGCCAAGCCGGGGCTGTGTTTTTAAAATCCCGAATCTAAAACCCACGTGCTGAAATTAACATTAGCCTCCACTGTGCCCCTGCATGTAAAATGCCCATCTCTGCTTGAGGACCAGCGGTAAGTGTAAATGCCTTGAAACTGAGAAAGACCAGGGGAAGGGGGGCTCCCTGCAGCCATCTTCCTACCACCTCCCCATCTTGAATAGTCTCAGCATGGGGTGGGGGCTGCCTATAAGCTAAGCCAAGGTCAAATAGGTCCGTTGTTGCAGGGGCCCTTGAGTGGGAAGCCAGGCGGCCCACTCTCCACCCAGGCGTTGGCTGGCAGGGTCCATGGGTTGTGCTCCTTTGCCTATCAATGAGACTCTTTTGTCATTCCCACTTGAGCAGAGCAGTGGGAACAGTTTGCTGACTCTTCCTCGTCCTGCCTTCTCCTGGCCTGGCCTATTATGTTCCCTCTCAGATGCTAACCACTCAGGAAGGATGAAGCAGTGCCAGAGAAACACCAGCCCCATCTCCTCAGCCCGCCGGGGTCTACAGGTCTGTAGGATGGGGCCCTCTGGTCTGCTGGGAACTGGGGCTCTCACTAGAGCTGGACAGGAATCAAGCCCCTGCATGTGGCCATGTCCACAGTGGTAGCTCAGTTTAGCTTAGCTTCCTCCACTGGGCAGTAGTAGGCTGGCCTGTCGCAAGTCTGCTCTCCTCAATGGGTGGGGGCTTCTGAGCCGTGATCCCTGCTGGGCTCAGACGCCCTCATTAGTTTCCTTCTTCCTATCTCAACATAAAGTCAAGCTGGTCACTGACCAGCATGGAACTCAAGGCACCAGCGACACCTCTTAGACAACTTTATCCCAGCCTTTGCAGTTCTGCCCCCTCACCCAAGCCTGTGGCTTCCCGACATACACTTCCCAGGTCTCCACAGTGGATGTTCTTCACTTTGTTTGGGTGCTTTAATGCCTCTGCATGCCAGACACAAATGCACAACCACCCTAGGCCCTTTGGTAATAGGGTAAGTGTAAATAAACAAGCTACAGTCCATATCCACAGCATGGACTCTAGGACCCAAAGCAGGGTAAGCCTCATTGCAGTCCATATGGCTTTGTATAAGTCATTGCAAATAACTGACAATTGATTAGATGGTTATTACACGATTACAAGGTAAATAATGTGTAAAATTCAACAGTGTTAATGTATTGTTTGAGTGTGCAAGCACCTATTTTTAATCTTTCTTCTTACCTTCTTTTCCCATAAGTTCATCACTTTATGTAAAAGTTGTTGCTCTTCTTCCTCTGTGGATCCTGGGCTGGTAATTAAAAAATCGACATCATGCCCAATCTTCTTCCCCCTAATTTTAAAAAATAGTATAAAATGGAAATCAATTAGATTTTTAGCCCTCAGTTTTAAAAAATGACCAGTGTTTCTATGCCCTATGTTTAAAGTTTGCAACACAAAATGCTCATGACATTTTTCTAAACAAAATATCCTTAGTTACACAACTCTATTCCTTGCAAAACAAATTTATGACACAGAAAAAAGTCATATATAGTATGTATATGATTATGTATGTGTGGGCAAAAAATAACAAAAGATTATTTCTTCTACACACACATATGTCTATACATAGACACGAGACATACAGACACACACACACACACACACACACACACACACAGGGAGACAGACATGACAATAAGCAAACCAAGAATTGTATTCACATAATACAAAGTAGCACTCTTGGAATCATCTTATAGATTAAGGGCATTTTCTTAGATTCAATCTTCCCCCTTTCTCTCCCTTGCCCCAAACCTAGCTTGTCAGAATGGCTAAGAGCTAGGTAAGAGGGCCAGGGGGATAGGCAGAGGGAGGTGTGAAAGGCAAAGAATCCCTTTCTGAAACGGAAGCCTTAATATCCAACAACTGCACACATTCTGTGAAGAATTCACTCATTCATTCATTCATTGAGTCAACCAAGATTTTTTGAGCACCTACTTTGTGCCAGGTATCATGCACTGGTTTTGCTGAGAACTAAGCTCTAAAAGCTTAGTGAGCAAAGCACACATAGGAACAGATCACTGTAACTCTCTGCAAAAAGGGCTTGGAAGATGTCCAGGGAGCACCGAAGAGGGGTCCCTAACCCAGCATGGAGGAGGAGGGAGCCAAGGAAGGCTTTCCAGAGGAGGTGGCATATAAATTGTGTTAAAGGATGAGGAGAAGGATGAGGAGAAGTCAGCCAGGTGACAATTTGAGGGACGGTAATCCAAGCAGTAAAGTCTAACTGAGCAAAGAAGGCAAGAAATAGCTCTGTATGTGCAGGGAATGACAAGCCATTTGGGGTTGCCAAAATGGAACATGAGGGGCAGGAGACAAAGCTGCAGACAGAAGCTGGCATCAGATCACAAAAGGCCTTTTGTGCCATTTCAGAAGCCAGTCCGCAATGGGGAGCCACTGAAGGTGCTAGAGCAGGGGAGGCAAAGCAGCCCGAGTTATTTACCTCCGAAACCCTCCTGTCATGGTGACAAAGGCATCCGGAAGAAATGCCCAGACAGCCTCTTTAACCAGCACGCCGACAGCCTCTGCTTCTGCCCTGGTCACACAGCTGACAAGGTCTTCATAATAGTGGAATCCTGAGAGGCCATTTGACAGGTCAATGGAGAGGGTGACACGTGTATGAAATGACCAGCCCTCAGTGGGAGGGGATTCTGCCCCCAAACAGAGCTAACAAGACCACAGGCACCAACGCCAAACTCCGTTTCCATAGAGACAAGAGTAATCCATGTGGTTCCTTTGGTCGTGCATTTTGCATGGTGACAATGGCTCTCTGCTTTCTAAGGAGAGGCTTACAAGTTCCTAAGAAGGAGACATTATTTCCTATCCCTCTGGAATCCAAACTGTTCGGATCTGACCTCCTATTGAAGAACCAGCCTTCTTGACAATAAGCTGTGCCCTACTATTTTTAAAAAGGTAACACATAAAGAGATTTGGGATGGGAAGATATACGGTTGGAAGGTGATAGATCAATTTAAAAATTAAAGTCAAGAATAGGAAGAGGATAGATCCGTATCTGAAACAGGAATGTTCTAGGTGGTTTGGCTTATTGCTTCTTTGCCTGGCCACCATGAATTCAGGAAAGTTCAGAGTCATCATGATGTAGAGCTGGTGACCTGGTTATTCTCATAGAG